GACATCCCTGGGAAACACCTGCATTACAGATCCTCATTATGTGTAGCAATGCAATTTCTTCTTGATATTTAAGATCTGCCATACCAGTAAGTACTGTAGCCCCTTATTTTGCTATTTATTCAGTGGCATGAGTTCACCAAATGTCAATCTCAGCAATAAATTCAACAGAAGCATTGCTGCAACCTGTGGTGGAATCATTCAGCTGTTCAAATTAAGGCCTCTAAGTCAGCATGACTTAAGTTACAGGGATGAGAAAAGTAATTTTACTAATGGATCAGTAGGGAAATAATGAAGAGATTTAAAACCATTGTCATTTCTTGATTCTGTAACCTAGGATTCCTGGCTATTGGGGAAATAGCACCACATTTTGGACACGAACTTAGAGCATATACCAAATTACAGAGGACATGAGCCAACCCTGCAAAATGTCATCTAGCTGGCTCTGTAACTGAGTCATCAAATCCATTCCACTCTCTATTGACCAGGTGCTTCAGGTGATAGGTAACATGGTAAGGCCAGTGAATTTTATGAGTTGGCACATTGCCACACTCTGGTAAGAAATCAGTTGTTGGATTAGAAGGGACTCTGCATAAAATACTGTGATAGTAGGTAAGGCAGTCAGTAAATCCTCAGATGGTAGTTTAGGCACAGTTTTGCAGGCAAAATGGTAAAGTCACATTTAGAATCATTGTGTATTTTTGTGAGAACAAAACAATGCCTCTTCCATGATGGAAGTGGTGCAGTGTAATCAAGTTCAAAACATGTAGCTTGCTAGTCCTTCTGAGGAATAATGTCATATTGGAATCTTAGTTTTGGTATCTGCTGAAGCTGTAGCCAAATTGACTTTGGTGGATGGAGGTCCATGATTCTGAGCCCATTCATAAACTTCATCCTGGCTGCCATGACCACTTTCTTCATGAACCCTCAAGTAAAGACAAGAGTGTCTGAGAATGAGGCTGACTGACATCCACAGAATGCATCATCTTATCCCCTTGATTACTAAACTCTGCTGAGGTTGTTCTTTGGTGAATATTCACATGAAACCCAAATATCTTTATATTGTATGCTCATTTGCAGAGATAGCCACATATACCTCTTCCCCACATTTTTTTATTACTTATTTTATAATCATGTCCTTTCCAATGGACTTCCAGTCAAACTGTCAACCAATGTTTATGTAGCGGGGAAATTTATACTGCTGTCCCCATGGTTTTCTCTATGCAAAATGAGCAAGGTTCTCTGGCATTCCTTTTTTTTTTGGGTAAAGGTATGTCCTTCAATAAGTGGCTTTTATGTTAAGGTTAGCAACAGCAGTTACTGCTGTTTGGAGACAAGTACTATAACTGATACAGACATTGATAACAGAAATTAGGTTTCATGCAACAAAATTTAAGGAAATCGGAGAAATTTGAAATTGATTATCTGCCCCGGTAGGACTAAAGGCAGTTAAAAAACTCCATTTGTGTTCTAGAAGGGGGATATGGCAGCCCATGAAATGAAAGAGCATATCATTTAAGTGGTTCTCTGAAATGTAAAGCCTTTGGAAGGCCTGGATTTGGAAGACCTCATTGCTGCCACAGAGAAGTCTGAAAAATGTAAGTAGTTAATAGATTGTGAGGTGAAGTGGATGCTTATGATGGCGCTAGAAAGCTTTTAAAAAGAAGCCTAAATTATTGCTCAGAAGCCTAATTTATTTGCTTAAGTGCTCAAGGAACATATGGAAGACAGGAATATGTAAATAGAATTTCTGGAGGGCTAAGTTAGCTAAATCCTATACTCACCATTTGATCCTGTGTATTACCAAATTATAGAATTTGTTGATTTCTCAGCTTTGATGTCACTTTTGTCAAAATTAGTCACTGAAATGGAAAGAGTAAAAATTCAAGAGTAGCAAAGTTGAGAGAGTTGAAAGAACCTCAACTCCAAATGCCAACTGAGCCTCCCTTGCCAGCAGAAGCAGTCCTACTCTGTGTCCAATGCAGCTGTTTCTCCTTTGCTTAAACATCCAGTAATTTCCTGGCCTGTGATACTTAAATTGCAAGAAGAAGCCAGTTTTCTTAATGCCACAATCTCATACCTATTGTCTACAGACCTGTTAGTAGAGTAAGATCCCATCATTTCTCTCCGGACTGGGGTGGAGAATCAAATATCAGGTCAAAACAATGAGAACAATGTTTACAAACGGAAAGAACTGTGGAACGTTGAACATTTCCAAAATAAAACTTGTGTGAAAATGATTATGAGGGTGTTCATTTAAAGAAGGAGATATATAATTTTAGATCTGATTGAATTTATTGATACGGTAAAACTTCCTAGAGAGTCTATTCAACGTGCTACTCTAGCAGCTTTACACAAGACTGAAATTATTGTGATAAATATGTTTGCAAGAAGATCTTACACCTTCTCAAACAATTGCATCTGAAGGAAAATGTATTAGCAGAAAGCAGAAATGAACAACAGTAGTGGGGAGAGATAAAGCTCAGGGAATATGGAGCCTCAGAGTTGAGGTGAGGGAGTATAAGATAACGGAAGAAAGGGAAGAGAATTATCTGTTTCTGGATCCCCACTTTATGCAGGGCACTACTACAGGAGCTTCTGGACATCACCTCTAAATTTCATTTTATACTCTCAATTGCCACATGACATGGGAATTATTATTATTTCCACTTTAGAGGTAAGAAAACTGAGGTTCAAGGATGTTAAGTAACTTGTCCCAAATTACACAGTTACAACATAGAGACATGATAGGAGTATAGGTCTAATGCCTGTGATGCCAGAGCACAGGGCAGGGGAGTCTACAAAGGGAACAGTACCTTTCTCTTATATAGGAGGTAAGTCCTGCTAGCAAAGCTCAGCTGAATCAGAAGCAGGAGAAAACAATCTGTAACATTGTCTGACTATGCCACCAGAGGGCACAGGTTTGGAAATTTTCTTTTTACATAATCTATTGCTGTTTTTTCTGTAGGGACTTGTTGTAGCTGAGAGAGCAGACAATGTGTTATATTACATGGACTAACCTCACAGCCTAGAGACCTGAGGTTGTCACTCCCTTTCTTTGGGACACATGTACCAGTGACCATCACATTTGTGAGGTCTGCTCTCTTCAATATGGGCAGTGGGTGTCAGGTAGTTAGAAAGATCTCTTGGGTTCAGGACTGATATTTACTATCCAGCTCTGAAACCTCAGTGCTGACTGTAGTGCTTTCCATATAGTGGGAGGTTAGTCTATGTTTTGTTAAGAAGAAATAATGGTACACAGAATCACCCTCTATCTACCCGCCAATGGCTTCCCAGTGCCCCCAAGGTAAAATCTGCACTATTTATCCTGGCTTCTAGTCTTACCATAGACTGCATTTAGTTTTAGCTAAAACTAGCCCCTCATTCCCTGTCTCCCCTCGCACTACAAATTAACACATACATTCTTAATGTAATACTGAAGCTGGAAGTATCTGGAATCAGATGCTTCACAAAATGCCATCCCCGTAGTAAATACTCAAAAGCAGGAGTTGCCATTTCTGCTGCTGCTGCTACTACTACTACTACTACTACTACTACTACTACTACTACTGGAGCTAGAAACTTTCAGAGTCAGGTTGAAATCAAGTCTCCTGGCTAAGCCCAGTTCTCTTTGTGGCCATTGCTTCTTTACATATAATCAGGACACAGTTAATACTAGACAGTGGAATCTTTAATTTCATTCTCCTTGACTTCTTCTGCATCCTCTTTTGGAGTCCTGTGACCAGGGGAGGGTACAGGGAATTTTAGTAACCAGAAGACAGGGCTTGTTTCCACCTTAGCAGACATATATGTGTGCAGCATCAGAAGTCTAGGACTGAAAGCTACCTTTAGCATCATTTCTTCTGTGAATGCATGTATAATTTCTACAGAACCTATTATAGAGGATCACTCAGCCTCTGCCTTTGTACAACTTTCCCTCAAAAAACTGCCAATCCCTGTACTGTTTGGCCCAATAGTGAGATTTTTTTCCTGCTGCCCCTTGGTGCTTTTGCCTGTGATCCTCATTCTGCCTGCTGAAGACACTCTTGCTAGCATGGACCTAAACCCCTCAAGCTCTGACAATCCTCTTTCTCTTTTGTTTTACATGAAAGGTCTGGCAGCCAAAGCAATCACTCAAAGTTCAAACCTCATCACTTTTTTTTTGCTTTGTTCCTTGTGGCCTTGACTTTGTACATCAGCTTTGAAAATACCATCCCAGAGTTAATGCTGGGTTAATTTGTAACTAAGAGTGCTCTAGTTTTGCAATACAGGACATGCTATAAAAATGGAAAGATGTTGCTTCCTGAGAGATGCAGGTGGATTCTTGGGCATTTGTTTAAGTATCTTTTTTCTCTTGGGAAACTTTGAACATCTCTATCAACAAGTCAGAGTCCCAAATAACCAAGTCGGTAAGTCAGAGTCCCAAACCAAATTCCTGGCTCTAGGGGCAAAGTTCTAAGTGTGGTCATCTAATAATTGGCCTTCTTACCAGCCCCAGTGACTTTTAAAGAAACAGGACTCTGATGACAATGTGGAGATTCTATAGAGTGGTGAAGAAAGTGGGGGTTGGTATGGAGGGTATAGGAGACAGTGTGACCTGTTAGGAGCTGATATAATAGTTCAGGCCATAAACTGAGAGGCAGAGGTAGCAGGAATGAAGAGAAGGGAGAAGTTTTGAGAGCTAGTTATGAGTTAGTATTCATAAGACTTCATGCTTCACTAGATGTGGGGACTGAGAATAAAGGGAGACTCTAAGATGATTCCCAGGTTTCTGGCTTAGGTGCCTCCATAGACAGTGATGTGATAGACTGAGATGTGGCATGAAGATAAGCGAACAAGCTTAAGGGGTAGGGAGATGATATGTTTACATCTGGCAACTTTGAGATTTTCTTATTTAGACTGAGGTCTGTGTGAACCATCCTGGTGGATATATCCAAACGGCAGCTGATTAAATGGCTACGAGCTCAGGAGAGCAATCTAACCTAGAGAGGTACAGTTTCTAGCCATCATTCCTCTATCTGGTTCTCTTGGTACTTGGGCTTCATGCCGCAGTCCACTGTGCACCACCTGAAGGCAAAGTAACTACCTGCCATTCACCCCAACAAAATGCCACTGTCTATACAATGTCGTCCATTAATACTGACTTTGCATTCAACTTGTACCGGAGTTTCCCTTTTGACCCCAGGTAAGAACATCTTCTTTTCCCCTTTGAGCCTTTCTGCAGCTTTGGTTCTGCTTTCCTTTGGGTCCTGCTCCAGCACCCAAACTGAGATTATGGAAACCTTGGGGTTCAACCTCACAGACACTGCAATGTTAGAGATCCAGCAGGGCTTCCAGAACCTGATCTGTTCACTGAATTTTCCAAAGAAAGAATTGGAATTGCAGATAGGAAATGTCGTCTTCATTGGGAAGCATCTGAAACCAATGGCAAAGTTCTTGGATGATGTCAAGACCCTTTATGAGCCTGAAGTCTTTTCTACCGACTTCTCCAATGTTTCTGCAGCCAAGCAGATTAACAGTCATGTGGAGATGCAAACCAAAGGGAATGTTGTGGGTCTAATTTAAGACCTCATACCACACACTATCATGATCTTAGTGAACTATATTCATTTTAAAGGTAAGACTTTCAGGTGTCAATTTCCAGTCTAGGGTTCAGATACTTGGGTGGAGTGCTGAGGGGAGATCATGGTCTTTTATTACTGGCATCAGTAGGTGTCCCTCATACCACAGTGATCTTCTGCACTGGACATAGCTGTGAATAGTATTGGATCTTCCAAGATGGACACACCGCTCTGTGAATGAGTCCAGAAAATTTCTAGGGAGAGCGCCCTTTCAGAAAGTGGGTGAAAATGGTATGAACATCTTGCTCATAGTTGGCTAAAGATTTATGATTTCCAAAAGATTTGGTGAAATGAGACAAGCTTGTACTTGTCAAGTAGACATATTTGTATGTAAAGCCTACTGTGATTCGCACTTGCTGTGTACACTTAGGCACGCTACATACACACTTTTATCATGTATTATGCACTCACTGTGTACCAAATATCATCCTACATGTGTGGTATACACACACTGTCTCATCCAATTCTCATAAGTGCCCAAGTTCACACAGTTAATAAGTTTTAGAGCTGATATTCCCAGCAAGGTCTGTGTGAATCTAAAGCTGATGCTTGTAGAAACAAGAATCATGTGACTATTTTCTAAAGGTACTGTGCTCTAATGATTTCTCCTGGTTCTATAGTGTATGTCAGCCACATTGCTTGGAGGAGTTAACAATTGTTGGCCACAAACCACACGTATACAGATTGGCTAAAACAGCAGAAAAGATGTGTTGTCTCATTTCACCCTAGTGTGTTGGATATCCTCAAATCTTTTGATGGAAGAGAAAACTATGGATCTGATGGGCTTAGTGTGGTGTAGTAGTTTTCAACACAGACCATGGAGCCTAACAGCTCTGGGTGTGATTCCTGACCCTGCCACCTGTTAACTGGGAGACCATGTCAAATGACTTTCTCTGTCTGATCCTCAGTTACTTGTAAAGCAGGTTGATTTGTAAAGCTGGTACCTAACTCTATGGTGGTCTTAATTACTAGATGACATGACTAATGGAAAAGTTCTTGGTGGCACTAATATCAGTTTAAAATAAACACCTCTCTTTCTTTGTGTTTTAAGCCTTTGGTTCTGCTTTCCTTTGGGTCCTGCTCCAGCACCCAAACTGAGATTATGGAAACCTTGTGGTTCAACCTCACAGACACTGCAATGTTAGAGATGGTGTGAAACAATTCTGTTTTTCACTTTCAGTACCGTATTTAATAATTTACATGAGACACCCAACACTTTATTATAAAATGGGCTTGTATTATGTGATTTTGCCCAGTTGTAAGCCAATTTGATATATGATGGAATTGGAGTCACAAATCTTTGGGGAAATGATGATTACATCTATACTGGCAGTAGAACAATGGACTCACTTATCATGTAGAAAAATTATGAGAACCCTACCTTTTGTCACATACTAGAATAAATTCATGATGGATTAGAGACTCAAATGTAAAAAGTAAACTTATAATATTCATAGCATATCTTATAAAGTAACAAATAGGGAAGGATTTTTGAAATAATAACAAAAGTAAAACACATACAGAAGAATACTGGAAAATGTAACCTCCAGAATTGACCAAATGCATCTTAAACAAAGTAAAATATAATTATAGACAAGAATAAGATATTTGCAATAAGTATACCAGGCACATTAGTGATATAATAAATGCCAACAAAAGCAATAAGAAAATGGCACATATCTAAGAGAAAAAAATGGCAAGAATTAGAGAAACCAGTGCTGATGGAGAAAAAATATTGCCCAATACACCTATGGAAAAGGTACTGGTAACTGGACCTTCCAAAGATTAATTGAAACCATATCCCTGTAGATGGGGCCTATGCACATGTGTTTATTAGTTGGTTGGTTTTTCTGCTTTGCTTTATCTTAATTTTTTCTTTCTATTGTAGTATATGATGCATACAAAATGTACACAAGTCATAAGTATTTAGCTCAATGAATTTTAACAAACAGAACATATTCATGTAACAAGCACCCAGATCAAGAAAGAGAGCCTTATCTATGCCCCAGAAGCCCCTTTCATGCCACCTTATGCTTATTAACCTCCCAAATGTAATTATCCTGATTCCTAATATCACGAATTACTTTGCCTGTTTTTAAATATTTACATAAATTAAATTATATAACATACTCTTCCGCTGTTTTTCTGCTTTCCATTCAACACTAGATGATTGCTTATAGTTACAGAGTTTTCAGTCTTATTGTTATATGGTGTTTTGTTTTATGCAAACACATTTTGTCTATCCCTTCTAATGTTGATAGATATTTACGCAATCTCTAGTTTGTGGGCTTTTATAAACAATATGTCTCTAAGCATTATTAAGCAGGTCTGCTAGTGAACAAATGTTTGCTTTCCTGATGAGTGTAAACCAAGGGACGGAATTGCTGAGTGATAGGGTATGCGTATAATCAGCTTCCATAAACATCCCTCTATCTTTGCCTGAATCTGGATTGTTAGCATCTAGGTGCATTCTGTTTGATTGGCATTTTCCCCCTGGGAAAGCTGTTGCAAATTCAACACGCCTTGCAAGGTTAACATATCTATCAATTTGGGTTATTACCACTTTCCCGAGGTGCCTGTGTCTCCTAACAGGGGAAATCTATGTTTCCTAAGACTCTCCCTGGGGAAGTCTTTGTTTCCATGGAGTCTCAGGAGGTAAAGACTTCAGAGTAGCCTTAATAGAGTATATGGAATTCCACTCTGCTTTTCAGAGACATTTCTACTTATATTTGGCCTCCATTCCTGTACAGCTTTGGAAATCAGCAAATGCCTTGAGCAGGGCTCTGGTTGTGTGATTGAGTCCCCCCATGTCTTCAAATTTGTCATTCATTTTCCTGTGAACACCAAAAGCTCACCTAGTTTATTGATTTCCCAGATGCTGCCTTTGGCTGGAACTGGCAAAATCCCCCTGGGAGTGGGGGGAACAACAAATTACAGATTCTCAATACAACTTGGAAAGATTTTATTCTCTGGAATCTTTGTCCATTTTGTCCTCATTGCTTCTGCAGTTTTCAGATACATTTAAAATTAGATTTTAATAATCTATCTGGCTTTTCTAGGTGTTCTTTATAGAAGCACTGACCTACCAGGAGCTACTCCATCTACGTGAAATGAGAAACACTTATGAGTTCTTTAAAATTTTCCAACGTTATTTGAATGTGTAGAACCCGCTGAAAACTACTGTCTTGGAGAAACATTTGGAAATATATACTTAGAGACATATGCCAGGAAGTTCTGCAAACAACTGAAATATCCATCAATAAAGGAATGGATGGCTAAATTCTATAATAGTAACATCCATATGATGGAATATTGTTTGAGCACTCAAACTGATAAATTAGAACTACATGTCTAAATATGAATATATCTCAAAAATCTCAGAAAATAATGCTACCTTTTTCCTAGAAATGGGTCCTGATCCAAATCCCAAGAAAATGTTATTGGATCTCACTCAAGAAAGAATTTGGGGTGAGTCCATAGTGCAAAGCAAAAGCAAGTTTATTAAGAAAGTAAAGGAACAAATAATGGCTACTCCATACACATAGCAGTGGCATGGGCCACTCAGCTGCTTGTACTTATTGTTACTTCTTGATTACATGCTGAACAAAGGGTGGATTATTCATAAGTTTTTTGGGAAAGGATTGGTGAATTTCCTTGAAGCTGAGGGTTCCTCCCCTTTTTAGACCATTTAGGGTAACTTCCAGACATTGCCATGGCATCTGTAAACAGTAGTGACTCTGGTGGGAGTGTCTTTTCACATGCTAATGGATTATAATTAGCATATAATAGGTAGTGAGGACAACCAGAGGTCACTTTTGTTGCCATCTTGGTTTTGGTGGGTTTTGCCGGCTTCTTTACCGCATGCTGTTTTATCAACAAGGTCTTTATGACCTGTATATTGTGCCTACTTCTGATCTCATCCTGTGACTGAGAATGTCTAATCTCCTGGGAATGCAGCCCTACAGATCTCAGCCTCATTTTACTCAGCCCCCTATTCAAGATGGAGATGCCCTGATTCAAGTACCTCTGACAACTTGATAAGAACCAAATTGAAGAGCAAAACAAAGTATAATACTATTTACATCACTTAGAACGCCATACAAAAGAATACTTTAGTTCTGGAGCTCTCTTGTAAAATGTGGTGACTATAGTTAAGAATAATGAATTGTATACTGGAACATTGCTAAAAGAGTAAATTTTAAATGTTCTTGTCACAAAAAATGATAACTATGTGAAATGATGAATATATTAATTAGCTTGGTTGTGGTAATCATTTCGCAATGTGTGTGTGTATATATATATATATATATATATATATATATGTCAGAACATTGCATTGTATAATAAATATATATTTTTATTTGCCAATTTTAACTCAAAAATATTTTTCAAAAATAATACCTAAATAAGTCATGAATACACATATATGAAGTAAAAGTATAAAAATGTGAACTGGAAATACATGCATCAAATTTATGTTAATGCTTACTTCTAGGGGAAGACAAGTGGTGATGCGATTGAGTAAAGGAATAAAGAGGAAATCAACTACATCTACAATTATTTATTTCATTTTTATTTATTTCTCAAGGAGTAAAAGAAAATATAAACATTTTTTAGTACTGTGTGATTGGCATCTGGGTGCAGTTATATTATTCTCAGTACTTCTCTTCAGGCTTGAACCTTTTAAGCCTTAAGAAAGAAAACTCAGTTTAAATATAACCTTTCTGGTGAAGTGATTACTGATTCCTAAAGAAAACTCTATAACTCTTGTCTAGCTATGCCCATACGTTTTCCTACCTGACATTTATTGTTATAGCACTAATGACAACCTGTTTTAATAATCTATTTGCTCACATGTTGCTACTTCTATATTAAAAGTTACATGAAGAACTAACTCAAAATAAGGTGAATAATTTAGGCTGAGTGTGGTGGCTGACACCCGCAGTCCCAGCACTTTGGGAGGCCGAGGTGAGTGGATCACCTGAGGTCAGGAGTTTGGGACCAGCCTGGCCAAATGGTGAAACTCTGTCTCTACTGAAAACACAAAAATTAGCTGGGCGTGGTGGCACACGCCTGTATCCCAGCTATTTGGGAGGCTGAGGCAGGAGACGGAAGTTGCAGTGAGCTGAGATCATGCCCCTGCACTCCAACCAGGGCAACAGAGTGACTCTGTCTCAAAAAATTTTTAAATGGTGAGTAATTTAAGAGAATTAAATCAGAATAACAAGAGGTAGGGTCCAGGCATGAATACTTTTAAGCCTCCTAGGCGATTCTAAGGTGCAGCCAGGGCTAAGAACCACAGGTATTCCTGAAGAGAAGAAATTGGGTTGCCCTTGTTACCTTTTGTGTCTAACACATACTACAAGGAATGGCATAAAGCTAGTTGTTTGGCCTCTGTCATCTTAGAAGAGCATCTGTGGTACTCCTGTTAATATTAACTTACATTCATCCATTTTATAAGATAATTAAGGAACAAAAGTAAGTCCCTAGCAGCTACAGGCTTGGTGAAAGCAGCATGTGCCTCTGGAAGGTCATCTTAAGTCACAGCTTCCCTCCTTGTTCCAAGGGATTACTTCCTTGAAAGGTCTTGTCTGGTCCTGATCATAGGTCAGCTGATCATTGACTGCATGCTTTGCATATAGCATCTGCTTTGGAAAAGGTGATGGATTATAGCATACAAAAACAAATGTAACTGTATTTTCTGAGGCCAAATAACTTTCACATGTAGTTATTTAAAATTCTTCTTTCTTATAGTGACTATGTTGGCGAATTTTTTGTCAACTTGACTAGACTGATACTAGTTTTTTTGTTGTTATTGTTATTGTTAAATACCAGTGTAGATGTTGCTGTGAAGTTATTATTTACATGTGATTAACATTTACATCAGTGGAATTTTAGTACAACATATTACTCCTCATAATGTGAGTGGGCCTCATCCAATTAGTTGAAGACCTTAAGAGAAAAGATTGAGGAACTCTCCTGGGTCTCTACTTTGCCAGCCCTGCTGATTTATTTCAGATTTGCT